AGTTATTATAATAATTAAAGAAATATCAACATGTATCTTGCCATAAAGTTTTAATTATTTTTCCATGACAAAGACTGAGACGTCAGGGCTGGTCATCTTATCCTGGCTTGACCACTGTCTGAATAAAAAGCAATTTCCCTCCTCCCGGGACTCTGTGATGAATCTGTCACCAAGAGCTTGAAGGTTTATCTTTACGTTGCCTCTGACATCTTTTCCGGTCCACGCCCACCTCCTCCAGTCCTTGCCTCCTACTACTTCCTGTCCACTCCCACCACCACCTCCAGTCCACGCTCACCTCTGGTCCTTGCCCATCACTACTTGCAGTTCACGCCCACCACCTCCTCCAGGCACGCCCACCACTACTGCCAGTCCCTGCATCTTCACCTCCTGCCAAACCCACTACCACCTCCTGTCCGTGCCCACCGCCTGCCTGCTCGGGTTTTGGGCCCTCGTTACGTTAGGCGAGACTGTTAACGATTGCCTCCTAACTTCTCCTGTCACCATCCTTCACAGAGTTGTCATACCAATCTTCTGAAAATACCATTTTCATCATGTCACTCGCCTGCTCAGAGACCTTCAGTAGTTTCCAGGGGAGCAAGTCCAAAGCCTTCCCTGCTTGGTCCTCCACTGTGCATCCCAATAGGACCTTCCAGATTTTCTCCCACCAGCCCCTCCCAACCTGTGCCCGTGGTTCCTCCCCACTCTCGGCTGGTTGCTCAAACCTTTACTTGGGCTGCCCTCTTCCCAGCTCCAGCTCGAGTCCTACCTCCCTAGCAAGTCCTGAACTCCAGTGGCACTAACTCTTCTCTTACCTGGCCCCAGTGTTCCCTTGGGTTTCTTACTCTTTTCACGGGTACATGACCTGACTCTATGTGTAAATGCTTCCAGTAGGAACAGTCCAGAAAAGGGGTCCAATAAGTGTGTGCTGCTTGATTGATGGCAGGAGATTCTCTAGTGGGCTGCTGTCTCATGGTGGTTCCTGATGTGTCTAAGCTGACACTTTCTTTTTATCCCTGGTTGGGTTTTATCTCCGGGGCAAGGAAACACCCAGCCTTCTTCCCTCCACTGAAGGAAAGGAAGGGATGAGATTCTGTGGGGGGCAGCACAGGTCTGGTCAGCTGAGCTCGGTGGCTACTTCCATGTGTGCACATGCCTGTGTGTGTGTGTGTGTGTGTGTGTGTACTGCGGTGGGGCGGCAAGCCCCTGCCCCAGTTTTTCTTCCCTCTCTGCTCCCATTGTTCTTGTCCTCCAGAGAAGCCACTCCACAAGTTGAGTAGGTCTAGAGAGATGAGGCAAAGGAAGAAGCCAAAGGCCTAAGTGTTCTTCCCTCCTCTCTAAACATTATAACTTCTGGATCTTTGATGGTGGAGGGGCAGGCAAGGCAGGTGGATGGACACAAGGCTTACCTGCTGGTTAGCTCAGGGCAGCTGTGATGGGCCCTGGAAGGCAGTCTGAAGGATACAGTACCTGGGGGGTGTGAGGAAGTGTATCAGTGAAGCCCGGGGCCTTTTGCTCACACCTGCTGACTCCTTTCTCCCATGACTCCCTCTTGCAAGATCTCCTATCCATCATCCTCTACAAAGTAGTCTGTATTTTCCTTGAATCACTATAGCCTTTTATCTTCCCTTCTCATTTCGCACTAAGTTTTATGCCTTGTCATAGGTTCCCAGTTCTTTTTTCTGGATCCCAGAGGAAAAAGGTGATATTTTATGAACAACTTCCTATGAACCAGGCATTTGACTAGCTGCTCTGTGTATAGTATCTCATCAAATTTCTTCAAGTTTTTTTTTATCCTCATTTTATAAAGATTTTATAGATTAAATTGCTTATGGCTAGCATCTGTTCCTTTGTGTTTCCTCTGCAGATCCTGGTGGGGCGGGGGTGGGGGGCTTACATATAGCATGTGTTCAGGAAATAACAGTGTGGCACCTGGACTCTGCCATATCTAAGGGCAATGCAGGTTGACGGCTGGGGTCAGCAGAGGGTGGGCTGTAGTGGGAAAGGCTTATATAGACAGAGAGGAAGAGAGGGCCCAATGTCAGAGCCACAGCAAGCTCAATGTTGGTCTGGCTGGTGTTGTCCAGTGTCCTTGTGAAGGTCGGTGATGCCAAGTCCCTGAAGGGCCTCAGACGATCACCTCTTGCTACCAGATTCCCCTCCTGCCAAGAAGGCAAGTCAGTGGGAGCCATGCCTGGTGTCTATTGCTGCTTTCTCAGCCCCCTTCACCAGAAAGGGGGTCAGGCAAAGCTGCCACATACATTTCATAGAGTTGCCCTTCTTTGTGTGTGTGTGTGTATGTGTGTGTGTATGTGCGTGTATACACACACACATACATTTTTTAAATGTTTATTTAGTTTTGAAGGGAGAGAGACAGAGCACAAGTTGGGGGGGGGGCAGCAGAGAGAGGGAGACACAGAATAAGCAGGCTCCAGGCTCTGAGTTGTCAGCAAAGAGCCCAATGCCTGGCTAGACCCACCAGCTGTGAGATCATGACTTGAGCTGAAGTCCAAAGCTTAACTGCTTAACCAACTGAGCCTCCCAGGCGTCCCCCCCCCCCCCGCCCCGCCCCGTGAGTTGTCCTTCTTATACACACGTAGCCAGGGTTAAAAGACGGTTAAAGTTTTAGACAAAAACAAGTATGTGCTAATTTGGGAGCCTGGAGTAGAGTTAGCCTTTGGAAGAACAAAACGCTGCATGAGATACCAGAGTGTGGGGATGGTGGAGGGGCATTTGGGCGACCAAAAGGCCTTGACATGGGGCAGGGGAGGGAGAAAGTTTATTTACAGCAGGCTCCCATCCTCTGTCCTCCAGTCTCCCCAGACTCCCCAGCAGTATAAGCCCTATGGGCTTGTTACTCTTTCATCTACACTTTCTCGAAGCTGCTTCCTGAAGTCCCGGAATTCTGGAAAAGAGGCAGGGCGACCTTGCCAGTTGTGAAGTCTTTTCCTAGAGCTAGAGAGGCGCACAGGTAAGGCAGGGAGGGCTGCCCGGAGGAGGCTTGTTTCGGTTTATATTCCCAAGCGTTCTTGGCCAGTCTCCCACTCCCTGGGTTTGGCCGCCCTTCCATAGGGCATCATTCAGTGGAGGGTCTGGGGAGGGGATAGGGCTCCGGCCGACGCCCCACGACCAGCCAAACGAGAGAGGCATGCGAAGGAGACCCGCGCGCTATTTGCTTCCAAGGCTGGATTTAGGCTTAGGTGTTCCCGCCTAAATCCGCAAGATGGAAGTTGCTCCCTCTAGCTCTTCCACTAGCGAAGGCTGCTGGTTTTGCGAGCGACCCCTCCCTTCGAGCCCAGGTCGATTTCTAGCATTTACTCTGTTCTGGAGTCTTGTTCATTTACACACGCATGGTAAAAGACACTACCAAATACATCTTAGATCCAGTTTTGAGTAGCGCAGAAAGTTTACGAGGCTCTGGATGTACCCCACCCCTGCACCCGGGGTGCGCGCCGAAGGTAGGAATGTGTGCCCCAAAGCTGAGGGATGCAGGCTACTCGAACGTTGCTGAGGAGGAAGAGTGAAACTGGGGTGCCTGGCGTGCGTGGGCGTGTCCCCCGCGTGTCCACGGCCCCGCCGCCTCGCCCCCTCTTGCGGGAACGTGCCAGCAACCTCAGCTCTCCTTCAGCCCTTTCCCAGCCAGACGCTTCCTTTTTGGTGCCTCTGGGCGTTTACTGTAAATTCCGTGACTAAAACGCGCCGGTGAGCCCGGCCCATCGACAGATGGATCAATCGCCCCCTTCTCGGCTGGGGGAGGGGGACCCCACCCGGAGCCTCCGAAGCGTGGAGCTGCCGGCTGCCTCAGGAGAGCTCTCGGAGCTCAGCCCGCCGCCGAGCGCGGGCCGACAAGCTGGGCACGGAGGCCTGGGTCGGGCCGGTCTCGGGCTAGCCTTCCCGGGTGGGGTTCGAGCCCCGGACCCATCCCTCTGGTGCGGTTCGGGCAGGTCCGCAGTTCTTGGAGGCGGTCAGGGCTCCCGGGCACCACGGCCTTCCTTCTGCGCCAGGGGAGGAGAGACCATTGGGGAAGGGGAGTCTCGAAGAGCTGCAACGCCCGGGCGTGCGGGGGGCCGAGGGCGCCGGCTACGTGTGGGGAAAGTTCTCGAGCCCCGCGTGGAGAGCACACGTGTATGCGTGCGCGGGGCTAGACCTGGGTAGGCAGGCTGCGAGGGGACGCTGGGGCTGGCGCTGGAGGGGGCCCTTCTTTTCGCCTTCGGGGAGACGCTCAGCTTGGACCCCCCGCTCCAAGGACGCTCCCGCTCTAGGAGGGTGGAGTCCCTCCCCAGACCTTGGCCGCCAAGCCTGGGGGTTTTCGAGCGCCCCTCCCCCACACCCTCGGGATGGCTGGGGTGTCCGGGACTCCACGCCCTCCGGCCTCCGCTGAGCCTCCTCAGGCCTCTCCAGGACCCGTGGGCCGAGGCGGCGGGAGCAGGGGCAGAGGGGGTTGGAGGGCGCAGCCCGCCCGCAGCACGGGCAGGTCTGGTGGGGCTGCGGGGAGGGGGGGAGGAGGAGGGTGCGGAGCCTTTGGTGGGTTTGAGCCACAGCCCGGGGAGCCGGTCAGTTTCCGGCCAAGGCAGCAGGTCAGCCCCGAGAAGGGCGGGGGGCAGAGCAGAGGGAGTCAGCGGCGGAGCTCTCCGCTCGTCCAGCGTTCCCCGGCGCCGCCGCCAGCGCCGTGTCGCCGCCGCCGCTGCAGAGCGTCGCTGCTCCGCCGCGCGCCCGCGCCCCGCGCCGCCAGCCGCCTGGGAGCCCGAGCGCCGAGCCCCGGGCGGAGGAGAGGGGCGCGGGCGCGAGAGCCGCGGCGAGGGAGCCGCGAAGGGGGAAGGGGGCGGGCGGAGGGAGGAGCAGGGAGAGAGGGAGAAGGGGGAGGGAGAGCGGAGAGCGAGGGAGAGCTGGAAAGAGCGAGAGCAAAGAGCGAGAGCCAGGGAGAGGAGAGGGAGGGAGAGACGAGAGAAAGACACACGCACGCAGAGACACACGGTCGCTGGAATTCCATTAGAAAAAAGTGAGACGAGCAAGGGTTAGCGGGAGAAGATTTTTTTTTGAATCTTTTCTTCGTGGTGGTGCGAAAGAAGCGACTCCGGGCTCTCGTCCTCGAAGCTCTCACCGGATTGTTCCTTGACGCTAACACCCGTCGGTGGATTCCTCTCCTATTTGCATTTTATTCTGACCCCCACCCTCGCTGCTTCCTTCCAGCCCTTCACTCCCAAATCGCCTCTCCCCTACCTCCCCAGTCCGCTCCTGGGAAGCGCAGGGGAATTGGACCCACGGAGACTCACGCCTTCCCGGACCAGCGGGGGGGAGGACAGAGCGAGGACCGGGCTCTCGGCTCGTAAAGCAGATATACCCTCATATACGTGTATATTTGATTATAGTGGACAAGGGGGCGTCGAGAGGCAGCCCACCGCCCTCCTTACCCCCCCCACCCCAGAGGCGAGAATCGCAGGACTCGGGATCTTCATCGGGTGGACTAGCTTGGGATCTCCGCATTGGATTTGGGGCTGATTATCACTGCTTGGCTATTATTATTGTTGTTGTTATTATTTTTCTTACCCAAGGGAGAAAGAAAAAAAAGACACAAAAAACTGTGGGATTTATTTAACATGATCTTGGCAAACGTCTTCTGCCTCCTCTTCTTTTTAGGTGAGTACCTGCGGGCGGGGAGGGAGGGGGCGGCTTGTCCGCGGGAGCCTGGGGGGGCGCGCGTTCCGGCGCCCGCAAGAAGCCGGGAACGCGGCGGGCGAGCGGAGCGCGGGCTAGAGACCCGCCCGGAGAGCGCGCCGCGGGAGAGCCGGGCCCGGCGCTGCCGAACCGAGCGGGGCCGGGCGGCGGGCATGCGGGCGGAGGGACGCGAACCGCTGCTGGCTGGTTACGCGGGGGCTTGGGAAGGAGACGTGGAACACCCTAACCATGCCCGCACATACGCACGCACACACACGCACACTCGCTTACACGCATACGATGCTACTAGCAGTCATTTCTCTCAAAATAATGGGTTCAAATTGCGGCAACTTAAGAAAAAAGAATTCCAACTCTTGATTTGGAAGAGAGGAGGGTGGGGAGAGGCTCAGTGTCGCGGAGAGGAAGATCATGCCAGTTCCATCTTTCTTGTCGGCTCGCGGATCGACTCGGGTGGACAGCGTGCGTTTCTCCAGGAGCTCCTGCTTGGACGTGTGTGGGGGCAGCGATGGCAGCCGTCCCCTCACGGGCCAATCAGTCTCTGGGAAGTGCATCCCGCTTCCCGCACCCGAACCCCTTTCCAGTGGCCTCGCTCCCTGGAACACTTTTCAAGTTTCTCCCCACCGTTTGCCTTCCCTCCAGCCCAGACCCGAGCCAGATGCCGGGGCAGGAGTGGAGGGTTTCGGGTAGCCGTTCACTGCCTATCCTTAACCACCTCTGGCCTCGGGGGCACCCGATAGCTTGTAGGAAGAGGAGGGAGGGAGGTCAAAGTTTGCTTCCTTGGGCGAAGAAAGGGAGGAATGTTGGATAAAAAGGGATCTGAACAAAGACCAGTGCTCATTCTGTAAGCCCCCTCCTCCAAGGACAGGGAGGAGGGGCTGCCCGGTGCCCCTGAACCTTGGTCAGTCTCTTTCCCACCTAGAATTCCCAACCTCTCACCCCCTTTTGTGCTATGTGAAATCTCAGCTGCTTGGGAAATGGGTTCAGAGAGAGCATTCCGAGGGTGGAGGGTGGAGGTGAGGGAGAAGGTGTTTCCGAGGCCCTGGGCAGACCTGGAGTCCCTGGCAAGGCTGCTGCCCCAGAGAAGGTGCTCCAGAGAGGGAACTGGGGAATGCATGTGCTGAGGGAGAACACGTCTGCTTCAGTGGGGATGCTCTTCCCGCCACCCTGGCCTGCTGTTAACCAGTGGTGAGCCAGGCTGCCTAGCTGGGTCCAGAGTGTACCCTTTGCCTCCTGGAGGAGGGGAGAGGGGAAGGCCTGAGGAGGTAGGAGCCAGTCACAGAAAGATGTGGATGGTTTAATAAGTGCTTTCTTGACTTGAACAGGGGATTTGAGTCAATATTGGTTGGACCCTGGACCCTTTGTCCACCCCCATCCTCTGCCCCTTCCCAGAAACTCCCCAGGGGGCCTGGCCCTGCTATAGGGTGTGGCCTTGGAGGTCTTGCCTTCCTAAGCATTGGGCAGGTCCTCTCGTGGGCAGGGGAGGCTGTGGCTGGGGGCTGGATGGGTACTCTGGGCCCACTGTGATCCCGGAGCCCTTCCTGGCTACATACTGCAAGTGGGCTCTCATTCTGAAGGGGCTGTGATAAAACCTGACCTTTTCTCCCCACTGCTGGTTTGAAAATTCAGCTTTCTGGGGCCAAAAATGAGCAGGGCCAAGAAGAAAAGAAAATTTTATTCAGGGAAAGCAACCAGATTGTGCGCTGCTGAGCTGTGTACACCCCAGAGGTGACTTCTAACATCCCTGGGGTAGAAAACAGCAATATGGGCCCCTTAGTCCTGGCTTGGCCCAGAACCCCATGTTGCAAGCAGGCTGTTTTCAGCTGAGAGGGCTGAGGAGTTGACTGTTCTCATGATATAGATGTGTGAGAGCATGTGTGTGTGTGTGTGTGTGTGTGTGTGGGAGAGAGAGAGAGAGAGAGAGAGGTGCACCCTGGAGTCTGAGACCCTGGGTACTGAGTAGTGAGAGGAGGAGTAAGAGCTGGGGTCAGCAGCCCTTTTGGTCAGAGCCCTTCTGTTGAGATGCCCCTTTCCAAGGCTGGGGGGTGGGGGAGGGGTTAACTGAGTGACCACAGGATACTGGAAGGCTGTGGCCGACCAAGGAGAAAGGGATACGTTGGTATTAAGGAAACTTCAGCCTCAGGGCCACTTTCCTGGCAAGGAGCCCGCTGTTGGGAGTTGGTTGGAAATTCCACTTGGGAGAGAGGCTTTTGTGGAGCTTGAGACTGGGTAGACAGTTTCCGTGTGTATGAGGCACAGTGAAGCATGTTCCCAGGAGCATAGGTCTTCAGTGAGCAACCCCCCACCCCCCACTCAAGGTTCTGAGTGAGGTCTGGGGGTAGAGAGGCCTTTCTGGCCAGGCATCCTGACCTCCAGTGTTGACATGCCCAGGGAGAGATTGAAGATTCTGGCAGTTGCTGAGACGTTTCCTACAGGAGGTGTTTGTAGCTCCACGTAGTCTGTGAGTCCCCCTTGTCTCTACAAGCTGTTCCACATGTCTTTTCTTGACGGATCTGAGTTTGTTAATTTTTTTTCCCCCTGATCTGGAACTTGGGAGCATCTCTAGGATACCCTCTGACCTTTACTCTTTTAGAATTCCTGGCCCAAGGCTCTCAGTTGCTATTTCTTTCTCTTGCTGGGCTTGATTGGTTCTGGGGGTCATGACGCCAACTAGAAGAGCCAGGGATAGGTGCAGTCAGAGAGTTTGGTGAGAGGATGCACTGGCTCTCTGCAGAGCATCTTCCTGCCCCAGGCACCTGTGCCTTCTGGCAGGATGGGGACGCCCTTGCTTTTGGCACAGGAGCCCAGGATTCTGCGAGGATTGTCCTATGGGGCTCTAGACCCCACCTGTAGGGCAGGCAGGGTAAGTGCCCTTATTGCCCCAGTCTCCTAGGTCAATGCCCTGACCTTTAAACTTGCCCACAATACTCCTTTCTTAGTGTGTCTCCGACAGTGCATCCTCAGGCTCAGTCAAGGCAGGAGGGGAGAAGGCTGCTGGGATGCTGGGGTGAAGTCAGTGGAAGTCCCAGGGCTGGGTCATTCTTGAGCAGGCAGGCTGGGTGGCTAGGTGGGGGCAGCAGGTGCAAGTGAGGCTGGGTCAGCTCGGCTGTTTGTGGGTGGCCCAGATGCACTGAGTCTTGCTCAGGGACCTAGGAATTTGCTGAAGGCAGGAAATAAAGCTGCTGCCTCTACTTGGGTGGAGGACACCTCTCCAGCAAGTGCCTGGGCAGATGCCCCCACGCAACGCTGGCTTTTTCTCTGGTCTTATCTCAGGCTGGCCACAACCATCAGCTCTTCCTGTCTTGGAGTAGAGGTATGGTCAATGGGAGAGAGATTATCTTTTGCTCTGGCCTAGGGGCTCCTCTACTTCCTTTTCTTGTGGGTGGGTGTCCTCCCTTCCCAGCAGTGGAGTCCTTTTCCCTCCGCAGCTGTGGGGAGTGACAGGCTCATGGTGCAGAGCTCTGCCCCTAGGTGTCGCTGTCTCCCTGCGGTAGCCCCCCCTCCCCCCCCTTCCCTTGAGCAGGGCCTCTTGGGGGAAGGAGTGAGAAGTGGCTCTTCTGGATTGGGAATGGGGTAGGAGGGAGGGATTCTGCGGGATTCTGAGGAGGGGACTTCTGGCCATAGAATGGAGAAAGCCTCCCAGATCACTCCTGGGACTTGGAAAAGGCAGTCTTGGTCCTGGTGCACAGAAGAGCTTTTTTCTGGGGCAGGATCTGGAGTGAGGGGCTTGGAGAGGACAGGGAGACCAGGGAAATATCTGTGTCTAGAGGAAACCATTTTGGGAGCTTGATTTTGACCAGACCAAGTGGGCCCTTCCCTACCCTTCACTTCTGAATCTTGTTCCCTGAGCCCTTTCTTTCAAAGGCCTGTGGGTTTAGATGCTCTGAAGGTGATGGGTAAGAAGGGTGGCTGGATTCTGCCTGTTCACTTTTGGGGAGGTGAGGTTTCATGTGTAAGGCCAGGGTCTGCGGAGGGAAGCTCTTTCCCCTTTGTAATTGGCTTATTATTTGGTTTTGGGAAGAAAAAAAAAAAAGAGACAGAAGGGGACAGGGTTTCAGGGGAGGGAAGAAAGAGAAGAAAATAGGTGATGCTAGAGAGAGAGAGAGAGAGAGAGAGCGAGCGAGCACAGAGCTATTCAAAGAGCAAAGGTGATGGAGAAATAGACCTTAGGTGGAAGTCAGAGAGAGAGAGGTGTGTGTAAGAGAGAGACGGAAAAGGCCTGTCTGGACACAAACACACACACACACACACACAGAGGAAATCGAGTTGCTTGTCAGGCTTGCCTGCAGCACTTTCTGTCAGTGGGGCTGGGCTTGTCTACAGAAATCCTGTTTTCAGGTCTCCAGCCAGTGTGCCGTAGGACTGGAAGGTGTGGAGGGCTGGGCCGGGGAGGGGTAGCTGCTCTCTTCCAGGGATGCTTCAGGCCACAGGCTCAGGCTTGTCTCTTGGGGTCTTCTCTTAGGGTCTGGGAACTCAGAATGGACAGGCTAGGGAACCGAGGGGCCTTTTTGGCCTGTATGTGACCTTGAGTTGTCATCTCTCTTCTTTAGGTCTCAGTTTCCCCCCATGTGGGGGCTGGACACTGTGTCTCTAAAGTCCTAACAGACTAGGAATGTTAAATATTCTGCTGCTCTCCGGGCTTAGCCCAGCATGTGGGCTGGACCTCTGGCTGGAGCTGAGGTTGATGGAGGTTTGGGCAGCAGGAAAGCGAGGGTCCCTTCTGCACGCTCAGCCAGGTCCTGCAACACCCAGCTCTCTGCCGAGGCTGTGCCCTTCTTCTCTGGTTTCCTGGCCTTTTACACTCTGGTCTCCCTTGAGGATCTTCTGGCTTTACTGTGCTCTGCTCCTGGGCCCAGGGCTGCGGGGTGACAGGGTGGAATCCCAAGGGAATCTGGTTGAGCCAGGGCAGAATGACAGCTCGAGTTCTTCCCGTCTGTGGAGGGGTGTTGGTGTCTGGGAGTCCTTCCTCTGATCCGCTCTGTGGTGGGGACGCAGCATCGAGTTGGCGTTGGTGTGCTTTGGAATAACATGGGTGTGGAGTTCCCAGAAGGGCGCAAGCCCCCAGGCCTGCATCTTGGGTTAGAGATCATGGCGGCCCTCATTCATGCTTGTCTTCCCTCCCCACTACCCAGACGAGACCCTCCGCTCTTTGGCCAGCCCTTCCTCCCTGCAGGGCCCCGAGCTCCACGGCTGGCGCCCCCCAGTGGACTGCGTCCGGGCCAATGAGCTGTGCGCCGCGGAATCCAACTGCAGCTCCCGCTACCGCACGCTGCGGCAGTGCCTGGCGGGCCGGGACCGCAACACCATGCTGGCCAACAAGGAGTGCCAGGCGGCCCTGGAGGTCCTGCAGGAGAGCCCGCTCTACGACTGCCGCTGCAAGCGGGGCATGAAGAGGGAGCTGCAGTGCTTGCAGATCTACTGGAGCATCCACCTGGGGCTGACCGAGGGTAAGCCCAGCTGGGCCTGGGGTGGGGGATGCGGTGGGGATGGGGGAGGTGGGGAGCACCCGGCTGAGCGGGCGGTGGGTGGGCAGGTGCAGGTTCCCCGGAGGACTTGGTAGTGGAGGGAACTGGCCAGCTCTCTGTCGCCCCCTGCTGGAAGGGCCTAGAACGCAGAGGAAGTAGCTGTTGTAGGAGTCAGCCGGGAGGGGTGAAGGAGTGAGGGCTGGGAAGGAGAGAGGGCCAGGTGTTGGGAGAAGAAGGAGGCTGGAGAGAAGAGGGAGTAAGGGTTGGGAGAGGATGAATGATGGACACGTGAAGTGGTAACAGAGAAGGGGAGGCTGGAGATAGAGGCTGGCAGATGGAGGAGGGAGGGGTGGGTCCTGTGCATGCAGAGCTGTGCTTCCAAGCAAACCAGCTCCTGCCACTCCGCGAAGCCCTGGGCTCTGAGCTGAGGCCAGTCCCATTTCTATTCTTCCTACTGCCAGGACGCCTGTTCTTCAGGTGGCTTACTGACCCCAGGGCTGGCCTAGGCACCTTCTATAGGGCTTGGGGCACGTGTGGGCAGCTTGCAGCTTCAGGTCCCAAGGCGGAACCATACCCATTCCCTCTCCTAACAACCTGCTCCCCCATACCCTCCCCTACAGACTACAATGTGGGGGATTTGTATACAATGCAGGAGGATTGGCCACCTTGGTTAGACGTTCATTTCTTGATTCAATAACTGTTAATTAAGAGGTTATCATCTGCTAGGCCTATGGGAACACTGGAGAACAAGCTGGGGTAGCCTCTGGCTTCTTGGAGCTCAGAGTTTATGGGGAGATGCAGGTAAGTGAGGGGCTTTCTGTCACCTGGTGGTCTGAGTGCTGTTAGAAAGCACTGGTACTGTGGTAGCCCAAGGCAGCCTTTTATAAAATCTAAAGAGACTTCCTGGAAGAGACAGCCTCTGATCTGAGACTAAGGAGTGAGCTGCAGTTAACACAGCAGTGGAGGGGAGGGGGGATACGGGGAGAGTGTGGGAGGTAGAGGGGGGCTTGGGCAAAGGATGGCATGTAAGTGACTCAGTGTAGTAAAGGGGTTGGAAGTGGGGTTGGGGTGAGCAGAGGGGCGGGGTGTGGGACCTGGTGGGTGGCAGGGAGCCCTGCAAGGTGAGGCCCTGTGATCTCTGCTTCCGGACAGTGTTCACGCAGTTGGAGTGAAGAGAGTAGATTGGACGGGCTGCTTGGAGGCCGCTGCTGTGATACAGGCCTGGAGTAGTGGTGGCTGGCCAAGGACAGTGGCAGGGAAGAGGGAGGGTCCAAGGGCTATTTAGGAGGTGGAATCAACAGGTCTTGGTGAAGAGAGAGGACTAAGGAGGGCAGTTTTCTCTTTTGGGCAAGTGGGTGGGTTCACAAGAAGCAGCCAAGGGGGGGGAGGGCAGGGAGATGATGCCTTTATTTTGGGGCCCATGGCTCTCGCTGGCCATGCCATGCACACAGCTGGAGCCCAGTTGGGGAAGTGGCGCTGGACATGGAGATTGAGGAGCCACCATCAGCCTGTAGGTGTGACTGGGGCCATGGGAGTGGGCGCACGCACCCTGAGAGGAGGGCAGAGCCCCCAGGACCACCCACCAGCATTTAAAGATGTGCCAGCAGGGGAGGCAGGGGGCCTGCAGAGGTGCGGGGCAAGTGGGAGAAGTATTGGTAGAGGTGGGAGGTACAGCAGGAAACCTGGGGAGGAGGGAGGGTCCATGGTCTTCGGATGAGGCACTAATGCCTTTGGGATGAGCTTTGTAGGGGCTGCTGGGAGCAGAAGCCTGTTTGGGGAGTGAATGGGGGCTAGGGGCCGGGGAGTGGTGACTGTAGATGGCTTCTAGAACTTTGGTGTGAAGAGGAGAGGAGAACAAAGGATGACTTGTTTTGTAAGAGGCGAGAGGATGGAGCAGCTTAAATTCTAGGGTAGACTGGGAGTAGTAGGGTGTTGAGGTGAAGGTGGAGGGGCGCACTGTGGGGCAGTGCCCTTGCTTAGCCTCAGATGGAGGAGCAGGGTGTTGGAGGGAAGGAGGAAACTGGGATCGGGTGTGGGGGCTGGAGAATGAGGGATTCCTGACCAGTGTCCAAGATGGTTCCAGTCCGCCCTGAATTTGGGAGTAAACGGGGCATGTAATTATGAACAATGTTACCACTATTAATAGCAGAGTAATTCCTCACGCATCGGTCTCCCGTTCCTTGTAGCTTTAGGTCCTGGAACTAGACGTGAGCAGAGAGGGAAACACCTCCACAAAGCACGTATCGTTTATTCTCTGCAAGGTGAATAAACTGGGTCTTCACCTGGAGGATGCCTTTGTAGTTTGTGAAAACTGAGGTCCCTGATTCAACAGCTGGCTTGTTTAGTGTCTGGTTTTCTTTCCCATGGCCTTCAGTCTCAACCCAAGGGAAGTGGGGTGGTACTTTGGGGGTGGGCTTGCTGAGGGCTTGCGGGACAGATGCACTGGGGAGGGGACAGAAGAACTGCCAGCTGGAAGTGCAGGTGGGCCACCTGAGAGCCACTGGAATGGCTCCCTCAGGCATCGCCACATCAGAACGCCAAGGACCTTGCTGATCAGACCCCAGGCAGTGAGGCGTTTGAATGATAACGGTGTACGTTCTGTGCATTTATGCTGCATCCTGACATGTGGTCTTCAAGGCCCTTCCAACCCAGGAGTGCCAGGCTGGAGAGGCGTGAGCTGGCTTGTTGTTGCCTTACTGGGCAAGCATCTGTGCGCTTCAGAAGGTGAGAGCACAGATTCAGCCATGGCCCCTGTGCTGGCCAGCATACAGGCTCGAGACCCCTCCCCTGGGCCAATTGTAGAAAAGTAGACTCCGTTTTTCTCCTTCCTCAAAACCCATCCCACCCCCATTCCCGGCTCTTGGGAGGCAGAGGTAGTTTCTGCTCAGGGCTGAGCAGGGGAAGCCGAGAGGCCTTTTAACAGCAGGTAATGTTTTTGTGAGTGACAGGATCCACCTGAGAGTTAATTATTCACGGTGTAGGATGAGTGGTCTCCCCGGGGGAGGCTGCAAGCACTTCCTCCCTATTCCTTAATAACACTTAATAACCTGGCTTGGGCCTAGGGTGGGGTGGGGGATGTGGAGGGAAGAGATCTGTGCGGGTTTGGACTTTGACTGTGGCTTCTCCGTGGCCCCAGCTGGTGGGTGGCTGGTGGGTGTGATTCCTCTCTTCTCCCTCCACCTGAGGCTGAGCTGTGCCTGGTCTGAGGGCCTTAGCTGTGCACAGAGCTGGCAGAGGTGGGAATGTGGCCTCTGCTGAGCTCCTAGATGGGCCCAACTGCAAAAACCTAGAGATCATTCTGCCCCACTCCCACTTTGGTGGGGAAGCTGAGGTGCAGGGAGGAGGGCTGGTGGGACCAGGGCCCCCCAGGACTCCTTATCCAGGCCCCTTTCCAGCTGCCCTGGGGAGATTCTGTAGTCTTGGGCTCATCTTCCCCTTCTGTCACCACCACCATAACCACCAGTATTTTACATGGTGGCACCGTCACTGTTGCCTGGATGGGGGACTTGCTGGACCAGACTTCTTGACTTCTCCAAAGATGGCACTGAAGTTTGAGGTCATTCTGGTCCTTCAGATGTAAAGAGCAAAGGCCTCTCCCAGGTCATGGCCCAGGAGTCTGACATCCTAGATTTAGTTTAGTCTGGTTGCCAGGATGCCCGAAGGGCCCGGTCTCTGATTTCCCACTGGTGAATTCTGCCACAGGAACAGGAGGCATGGGTTGACTTAAATAGGATGGGCCTTTTCCAGCCAGTCCTGTGAGAGGCTGTTTCCCTTGAGAGACTCCCCCCAGTCAATCACACTAGCTGATCTATACCTGGGGGCCTACCTAGCTTTGCCAGATGCAGGAGGAAAGGACCTGGTCTGGGGGAGCAGTCCGGCTGACATAAGACTGACTCTGTGAAAAGTTAAACAGCAGCACTACTTACGGAAGAACAGTTTGGTTCAATAACACTTTTAATTTTGGAGACAGTATTCATAATGGTTAAGTACTTGGACTCTGGAGCCAGCTGCCTGGGTTTGAAACGTGCCACTACCAGCTGTGTGACCTTGGGCCAGTTCCTTAATGTCTCTGTACCCCAGTTCTTTGTCAATAAAACAGAAGAATAGTGCCTATCCCATAGAGAAATTAAGAGGATTAAATGAGTTAGTACACCTAAAGCATTTTCAGTGGTGCCGGTACAAAGAAGGCTCAGTGCAACATCATTTTTATTACAAAAAGCTCTTGTATTATTTGGCCCTAACAAATAGCAATGGCTGGTAGCCCCACCACCGGGAGTTTCTCCAGTGTCCATGGATAGAGTGGAGTTTGCTGAGATAGTACAGGCCTGTGATTGTCCAGGGGGAAGGTGGGATTGGGACTGGCCTGAAAAGAATAAGTACCTTTTGCATAGTAAGATACCACTTGGGCGCCCATTGTGCATAATGCATTGTGTGTACTGGGTGTTGCAGGACATGAGGGTATGAAATAAAGCCGTTTTTCCAGGGAGAAAATGAGCATCTGGTGATCCAACCCATTTTTGGGGGGTCTGCCAGATAGAGCAGACAGATGCCTGCTCTGTGAACCAGCAGAGGGCTGGATAAGCCTCGAGTGCTAGCCTCTGGGTGACCTTGTAGGCCTGGCTGAATGAGCCCCTGACAGGCAGATTCCAAGCCCCCTCTTCTGGATGGCTGGCACCTTCCTGCTGGTGGCCCCCACAGATGCCACCCCATGTGTACTCTTCTTTAGGTGCCGGGCCCTGGGTGGATAGGAAATCAATTTGTGAGGCTGTGGGTCATCACCTGTCTCCCCCGCCTCTTCAACACATACACGCAGTCTGAGTGATTATCCATTGATTTCTCCTCACAGTAACATCTCAGGAGGATATTTCCTCTCCTGCCGAGGTGTCGGGCAGAGGGGCGGGAGTCCCCATGTGGAGGTGGTGGGGCTCCAGGGCATCCCTGTGCCATTTATCTCCTGTCACTCACTTGTTTTCCATTCACCGAATCTCTGATGCACCCCGAAGCCTCGAGGAGAAGTCTGAGAAGCCAGCAGGTGGCTGGGAGTCAGTCAGACAAGTTGGGGATCAGGCCTCCACTCAGAAGACCTTCAGCCCCATCATGATGACATGATGGGGAAAAAGGAGGATGTTCTGTGTCCTTATGTGGCTTGGGTAGAGCCAACCTAGTGTGATGGGAGAGAATGCTGGTGTGAGGGCCAGGGAACCAGGGGCCAGGCTAGCTCTGCCATAAGTAGCTGTGTGATCTCAGTCCGGTTGCTTCACCTCTCTGGCCTACCTCAGAGTCCTCTCTTGTGAAATGAGGAAGTTGCACTGAAAGACTTTGGAGGGCCTTTGGCTTCAAACCCTGTGATTTATACCCAGCCTTCCACAGGCTGTCCAGCTCCTCAGTGCCTTCTTTCGAGAAGCATTTGGAAGTCCTTAGAAAGGGCTGGACATGCCAGGAGGTTAGTAGAGGAGAGCACTGGCAGTGCTGACCTACTGTGGGGACTTCTCCTCTAGTTGGCGAGAAAGAACTCACCCATGTGAAATGCTCACCGTTTCATTCATAACTTGCTCTCGTCTAGTCCTATAGGAAGGGTGGGCCTGTGCCTGACACTGCTTCTCTTTTCCAGGTGAGGAGTTCTACGAGGCCTCACCCTATGAGCCGGTGACCTCCCGCCTCTCGGATATCTTCAGGCTTGCTTCAATCTTCTCAGGTAAGTGGGCTCATTCTGGGGCCTCCCGGGTCCTCCCAGGTGCCCTGGCCTTCAGTTGGCTCTATCTTCCACCGGCAAGCCCCTTACTGCTTCTGAGCTTCGAGTCTTCGTCTATAAAAGAGGAAACCATAACAGCCACCCCCAAGGTTGTGTGTGGAGTGGAGCATTATGGGAATTGGCTAGAACAAACGCACCGTGCAGTAGGTCTTGAATTTGAAACCTGGTATCACTCTCCTGTTCTGCTACCGGTCTTCGCCTGCTGGGTCCTTCTTTCTAGTTCCCAACTCTTCGACTTTGGAGTTCTACTTTGGTCAAGTTGCTTAACTTTTCTGTGCCTCAGTTTCCTCACTTGTGCAGTGGGACAGTACCTACCGCGGATTGTCATGAGGTCCAAATGAGCTGATGGTTGTAAAGGGCTCAGTGGGCTGCTGGGCGGCAGGCACGGCACAGGTCCCAGATCGGAACCGTTAGCTGTGGTTGGTGGTGGTAGTATCACTACTCTCGGTTCTGCTCTGGGATTCTCCTTCCTCATGGGCTCTTCTTCTTGAACTCCGCTGAGAAGCCTCTGGTTCTCTGGTGCTCGGGCTGCCCCAGGAAGAGAAAGACTGTGCTGAGCTCTAGCTTTGCTTGTTTTGGTCTTTGTGTAGGAGTGAGTTTGTTGGTTGTTTCTTCTTGGCCTGTTCCCTCTGGCCTCTGGGAGACCTGTAGTCCCAGGGCGGTTGCCCTTGCTCCGGCACTGGTGGGTGGGGGGGTTCCGGTCTTGGGAATTGCTCTGTGGGGGCTGGGGGGTGAGCTCCTCCTGGAGCCACCACTGGTGCCCAAAGGTGGTCAGGGGGTGCTGTTACAGGACGGGGCTGCAGGCTCAGGTTTCTAGGACGTTTTGTGGCAGTATGTGGAGCCTCCTGAAGTTTCTTTTGCTCTAAACCATGGGTTCTCAATGGCAGCACCACTGACGTTTTGACCCGGGCAATTCTCTCCCGTGGGAAGAGCTGTCCTGTGAACTGTAGGATGTTTAACAGTGTCTCTGGCCTCTATCCTTTGGATGCCGGAGCAACCCGCTGAGTCGTGACAACCAAAAATGTCTCCAGACATTGCCAAATGTCTCTTGGGGGACAACCACTACCAGTAGAGAAGCAGCACTCTCAACTGTGACATGAGGGATTTTCTGGTAAGACCCGAAACCCTTTCAAATGAAGAATTCTCTAGGAGAGTGTTTCTCAAACTTTCTTTTTCCATTATTGCCCCCCTAAGGAGACAACCAATTCTCTGCAGGAAAATACTGTCTTAGTCTGCTTTGGTTGCCATAACAAAATACCATAGACTGGGGAGCTTAAACAACAGAAATTTATTATCTCATAGTTCTGGAGGCTGGAAGTTTAAGATCAAGGTCTGGCAGGGTTTGGTTTCTGCTGAGAGCTCCTTTCTTGGCTTGCAGATGCCCACCTTCTCACTGTGTCCTCACAAGGTAGGATGGGGTTAGGATAGGAAGGAGGGAGTGGGGTAGAGAGAGAGTGAGCTCTCTTCCTTATAAGGACACCAGTTCTATTGGTTATGGCTCTACCTCCTCACCTTTATGACCTCATTTAACCTTAATTACCTCCTAAAAGCTCTGTTTGCAAATAGAGTCACATTGGAGGTTAGGACTTCAGCATAGTAATTTGGTGGACACAATTTGGTCCATAGCAAATGCCAGGGAATTCCTGCCTTTTTTTTTTTTTTTTTTCCTGCCCAAGAACCAATTTTTGCTCAGTTGGGGGTGATACCCTCTACTCCCACTGAGAATACATGCTCTAAGGGATTGAGAGGGGAAGATACCTATGTACCTGGTGGGAGAAATCCTGGAACCCCATGAGAAAGGAGGCACTGGCCAAAGGGTGACCATCTAGATATGCCCTTGAGCCCTGGTGGTGGTTGGGGGTGGTGGTGAATGAAATGGAGACTTCAGAGCCGATCCTGGTTAGTTTTGGATGGAAATCCACCTTGGGACACTCCATTTGAGACAGCTTTGGGGCTCAGGTGCAGGCTGAGAATATCATCAGCAGGTGATGCTGGAGTAGGGAAGCCTTGCAGCCCCGATGTGCCCAGTCCCCACCCTGCCAGCTGAGCACTACTGCATGGGTGGGAGTCACTGCGTTTATCTCCAACAAAGAAATAGTTTTGACTTGTGCCCTGAAGGTTGAAGGTCGGAGGTCTGTTTCCCAGACTCACACTAAACATTTTTCTAGCAAAAAATCTTTACGTGATGGGCTTGATAGTCTGCAGGACAAGGATATCGACAAGACAAATGAGGAAATTATTGGGCCTCAGCTCACTGAATCAGCTTCCTTTACCTGCTGCCCGAATGAAACTGGGCCCCACATGACCCTGGATCCCTGGGCTCTAGGGTCTACACCCCATAGAGAGGAGGGGTGCCTTTGGGGTCTGTGGCAGCTCCCCCCTCATCGCTCCTGTTGACCCCTCTCCACCCAGAGTATCCTCAAAGATGGTGCTTGGGTGGTCCTGTTGGAGAAACTTGGGCACATAGCTGGGTGGAGGGCCAGGACAGGCCACCAAGAAACTAAGTGGGCCAGGCTAGGGCATACAGCAGGAAGAAGGCTGGATGGGGGCTGGGAGGCCTGGGTGTCACTGCATTCTCTGACCCAAATTAACTGAGGGGCTTTGGGCAGGTCACTGCCCTGCTGCAGGCCTTATGTTTCTTTTCTAAAGAAGGAAGACCTAAGCTTAAAGCCGGGCTCCCTAATTTTTTCCCACCAACACATACAGACAGCGGCATTATTGCCTGGCACACAAGGGTGAGCAGAGCATCTTAGAGCTCAAGGGAACATGGGGCCCGGTCCGGCTGCCCTGTAGGATCCGTATCTGGGCTCATGTGTTACCTGCCTGTGACTTTCTGGCTGGGAAGGCCTGGCCTATGTGACCCAAGATCTGAACTGGTGCTTTAGGATGACAAGGCTGCCACCCTGTAGGATCGTATGGAGCCCTTCTCCACTTACACACGCCTGTATTTGGCTGTGCATTGTCTTCTCCATCATCTGTGTGGAAAGGCTGTGAGTGGGGAGCATGGGGTCTAGAGCTCTCCTCTAGGCCACGATACCCCCAGTCAGGGCCCTAGGAACTCAGAAGAGGGTGCTCTTGTATCTTTGGGGCTCAGTTGCTACTATATCGTTAGCATCTGCTGTCTAAGAATTTGGGCCCCTGTCTTTGGGGCCTCCTGGAACATGTGTTCTTTATCTCTGGCTTCCTCTGTCTGTTGCGTTCTCAGAAAGTCCTACTGGGATCCTCTTGGCAAAAAAAGCTTCCAGGACTCCTCCAGCACTCTCTGATGCCAGAGGCCCTGGGGGAAGGGCAAGCCTCCTTTCCAACCTGCCTAGTTCAAAGACTAGGCTTAGGGTTAGGGGTTACTGGGACTAGGATTGCTGGTGTCCCAATAGTCCCGAGTCTAAGGTCAGGAGGAGAGCAGTCTGGCTCTGCCCTGAACCATGGCCACAGTGATGTTTGAGGCATCCAGGTGGGAAGGGAGTGTTCGTGGAGAAGTGAGGTTTGTCCTGTTTCTAGCAATTCAGCTGCCGTTGCAAGCATAAAACAGAGTGTTTAGGGAGGCAGCCCAGTGCACAAATAGTGTGGGCCTTGAGGTGACAGTACAAGGTTTGATTCCTGATCTGGACACTTTATTTTTTTATTTTTAGAAAGAGAGCGAGAGAGCAAGCGAGTAAAGCGGGGAGAGGGGCAGACGAGGAGAGAGAGAATCTTAAGCGGGCCCCATCCTGAGTGTGGAGCCAAATGCAGGGCTTGATCCCATGACCCAGGGATTATGACCTGAACCAAAATCAAAGTCAGATGCTCAACCGACTGAGCCACTCAGGTGCCCCACCAACCTAGCTGCTTAGGGGAGTATGATCTTGGGCCTCATTGGGCCTTCTTGAGCTGTAGTGTCTATGTTTGTAAAATGGGACTGTGATATCTACCAGCAGGGTTGATACAGAGGATTCACCCAGAATGGATGTAGAGTAACAGAATTAGTCATCCTGTCTTTGTTGAGGATGTTCAGTAAGGAATGGGGGTTTGGGAAGCTGAAGTTGAGAGTCCCTCTGTTCCCAGGTGTCTGTGATCCTGTGAATACTGAACACCAGCTGGCCGCATCTGGGGAGGCAGGTGAGGATGGAACAGGTGAAGAGAAGAGCTTCTTAAGGAAAGGAGAGATCATTCAGGCAGAGAGCAGTTGTGGAAGGGTTCTGTGGGGAGTGAGAGGATTGGTACCTCTCTGTCCACATGGAGGGAGGCCATCACTGCGAGGGGCAAGGGTCTGGGAGGGCCAGGTAGTGGTTTTCCTCAAGGTCATGGAGCCATGCCTCAGGGACAGGCAGAAGCCACAGGCAGATGGGCCACTGTTGGGCTGTGCCTTCCTGGTGAGGTCTGGGGCCTCCAGAGCCTCCATCCCATACAGGCCTTGTCAGATGCATGTATGTGTAGCATATTGACGCAAATGTATCTTTTCTGTAGCTGGAAAGGAACTCAGAGATCACCTAGGCCCACCTCCTTCCCTGACAGAAAAGGAAGCTGAGACCATGAGAACTGGGACAGACTGGTTTGGGATTCAGGTCCTTGCTCCCACCCCAGTGTCTGCCTCAGGCAGTTGCCTCTAAGCTCTGGTCTCCTCTTACACAGCGAGGGGCTGATGGAAACACCTACCTTCTAGTTTTTATTGGGACTAAATGAGATACTGCAGGTAAATGCTAGACCTAATGCTGGGACATATTGCACTAAAATACTTATTATGGAGTGATTTCTCAAAGGGCAATATGGCAGGCTATGGCAGAGCTGGCCTGGAAGCTTGCATTTGGGAAATGGTTGCAAGCCTTTTGGTGACATGAGGCTACCTCCCACCCATGATAGTGTTTGGTGGGGGCTGGAGTGGGAGGTGACTGGGCAATGTTCAGGGGACAGTAACACCTGGGGGCTCCTGCTGAGCTACTCTGGCCTTGTTGAGCTACACTGTGGAG